TCCCCTGAGGTGCCTTCCTGAGAAGGAGACTTGGGTCTAGGGGAACTTTGAGGGATTTGGAGCACAAACTCCACTTGGAATTTCTTTAGCTAGGGCACTTAGGTCCACTGGTTCCAGATCCAGCTCCTCCTCTAGCAGTTGGAGGTTCATACTAGGAGATGAAATTGGGGTGAAGGAGACTGTCATTCTGCTGCTGGTGCCTATTTCTGGAGTTAGGGAATGTGGTGCAGGTGCAGGGATAGGTACTGCTCCCACCTCCTTGCTTCCACTAGCAGCAGGAGACTTGTGGCTGCCAGGAAAGAGGGATGTGTCTATGTTTGGGGGCGGGGGGAAAACTTGCAACTCTAGCTCTCCCCCTACCCCCTCTAGCCCCTCTCCCTCCCCTGCCAGAAGACCTGGCACCTGCCTTTCCGGCACGCTTCATATTAATCTTTCCTGTGCTTTAAAATGTGTCTGTGTGTGCAACTAATAATATATTTCGTCTTCTTCTCTGATGTATGACTGTCTGACTACTTCTTCTGTGTTGTGTTTACTGTTGTGTCTGTACCAAAATAATATCTCTTCTTCCTCTTCTCCTTCTTCTATGATTGAGTGTCTGACTTCTGTGTTGTGTTAATCTGAATCTCTATCTGACTTTTTCTTGTGTTGTCTTTAGTCTGTATGTAACTATAACTAATAATATTAATAACTATATATCATCTCTTCTTCTTCGTCCATGAATGTCTGACTTCTTCTGTGTTGTAATAATATCTGACTACTACTTCTATGATATATGTGTGTGAATGTGTGTAATGTATATACTTCCCTGCACAGTGATGGATCACTCTGCCAGGCAAAACCACTTTCTTTTTTAAAAAGTGTTGGAAAAACAACCAAAAACAAATATAAATTGAAAGAAATGGATTGCATAGGGATAAGTAGAGGGATTCAAGTTAGTAAGCTATATCTAATCCTTTCCAAGAACAAAAAGTAGTAGGAGACTGACTAGGTAGGAAACCAAGCCAGTCCAGTACCTTTCAGATACTGTTGCTCAGGCAGAAACAGCTGACAAAAGGCACAGAAAGCCTGCAGACAGAGGCTTATATGCTGTTTCTACATCCCTTCCCCAGAGCACTGTGATTGGAAGGGGACTCAGGGAAAGATCACAGTCACTGGCCAGCTAGAGATGTCAGTCTTTCCCCCGCTGCTCCACCTCCCTCTTCTCAGTTTTTGCTCACCTGAAAGGCTACCTTCTGAATCTCCGAATTTTTCTGAATTGATTTGGAGCCTCTGAAGAGGGGGTCAGGGGTGGGGGGACGCTGATCCCTGCCTTGCCATAGGGCTGGGGCAGGGGGCTGTGAGCAGGGGGCACACGGGAGCCAGTGCTGGTGGGGCCCAGAGTGGAGTGGCTCCCCTCTCTCCCTGCTGGGGCAGCCCAGCCCAGCTCCATAAAGCCCAGCCAGCTGCACCCCAGGCTCCTGCCACCCCACTCTGGGCCCCACTGCCACTGGCCCCAGGGCACTGCCTGGCTGTCGCTGGCTCCCAACCCCGCTATCCAGCCCTGGGGGCAGCACAGAGGCCACTGGGGGCAACATGAGCTGGTGGGGACGTAGCCTGGGCTGGCCAGGAGCTTCCCCATGGCCCCTGGCCTCCTGGAAGCTGCAGGAGCTTCTGAAACAGAAAAGCAGCTGTGACTCTGCTCTGGCTCCTGGTGCAGAATCCTCACCTGTCCTGGGGTTGGGGGGTGAGCTGCTGCCAGGCTCCTGCAGGGTGGGGGAGGGGCTGAGCCTTCCCCCAAGGCGGTGGCAACCCCCAGGCCACCTCTGGGTGGGGGAGGCAGCTAGGCCTTTGCTGCCCCAAGCCTCTGGTGCATGATGCAAGTTCTGTGCCACCTCCTTGGGCTTGCCATGTCCTAGGCCATGTCCCTGGCACCTCATCTCACCCCCACCAGCTCGTGCCATCCCCAGCAGCTCTGGGAGCACCTTGCACTGCCCCCCGAGCCTGACAGGCCCTTCCCTGACAGCCTCCGACCTCCTGGCAGCAGCAGGAATTTCTGGAGTGCAAATGTGGCCATGAGGCTTTGAGCAGCAAGGGCCCAGCTGGCTCCCCACTTGCAGCCCTTCCTGCAAACCCCATAGCCACACCCTCCACCAGACACAATCACACATCCCACAAATACTACACACACACACACACACACCCACAATCCCCCACAAACCCCACACACTATGCAAGAGTAAGACTGCTTTTTGGATTATTATGCAATTACTTCTACACAAACACACACATATCAGGACAAAAATATATATATTTAATTGAATTAAAATATAATATGGGTATTTGATTTTTAGTATATAATTTGGTTTTTTCGGTTCTAAGATAGCAAACCCTCTTCAAAGGAGTACTTCCAGGGACAAGGGGAGGGACTTATGGTGGCAAGGGTCAGAGATCAGGGGCAGGACTTCTGGTCCCAAGATGGTGACCAGGGGTCGGGGCACCTGTCAAAGGGCAGGGTTACCCATGTGGCCCTCAACAGCTTGCTAAAACTTGCTAAGTGGCCCTCCGCCCAAAATAATTGCCCGCCCCTGAGCTGATGGCTTTTTAAGCCCCCAAATCAGGTAGGAATCTCCCATCTGTTCCTCTTTGTGCTCAGCAGCATGTCCCCTCTCCTTCTCTTCCATTCCCCCTGCCCCCAGCCAATGCTGCTGCTGCTGCCTCCAGCTGCACTGGGAATGGGAGAAGCTCCAGAGCAGCTCTTGCCCTGCTCCAAATGGGTAGCGCAGGGAGCCAGGCTCAGCTGCGGACAGCAGCAGAGATAGCAAAGAGACTGGGAAGGGGAGGGAAAGTGGGCCGCTGCTGCTGCTCCCTGTGTAGCCTGGCTAGAGAGACATGAGCAGCTCTGGAACTCCCCCTATCCCCAGGGCAGCCAGAGACAGCACAGGGCAGTGGGTGGATGGGGTGGGGGGGAGGGAAATGAAATCATGCTTCAGACATTGAGAGAAGTCTCCATTTTGCAACCCTTATGTTGAACCATGACTTACTTCACAAGCACCCCCCATGATTCTCATAAAACTACTGAGCATAGAGCTCCATGCTACTGTACCTAGACCGTTTCAGTATCTGAGCTAAGTTAAGGTTAGCTTAAAGTTTCCATGGGTATCACTACAGTGCACTGCAGCTTCAGCATGTCTTAAGCCTAGGTCCACAAAGAGCAAACTAACTGGGCTTGGTAGCAATAACCTCAAACATGCTGTGCTGCTCTGTGTGGGTTGTTCCCTAACCAGGAAGGTGGATAGCCATGTTGACACTGTGCTTTGGCAGGCTAATTTAGCACTGCTGAATGACTGTGTCCATAATGCCACATGGTTATGGCTACAGTACTTTGGAAGCTGCTGCCAAGCATGGCAAGTTTACTGAGTAAACAGAGCATTAGGAGTGCCAAAATTGAGCCAACAATACAAATTTGTCCTTTCATTACTATAGCAATATACCTGCTATTGGGGAGTCACCATAGTTGTCTATATAACTATACTGGCAGCTAGGTACATTCCCAAAACCTTTAGTACCACTCACATGAGTATTTTTGAACAAGGCACAAAAACATTCTTAGAATGGAAGGAAACATGCCAACATTTTTTATTTGTACACATTGGGGGAGGGGGTGTTTGTAAAAAAAGTGCCTTCAAAATCTACAAAATCTGATTAGAAAAACATGTATACGCTGTACTGTTATAAGCTACAGTAAAAAGGAAAATTAGCTTGCAGTCAAGGCTCAAAAACTCCACAGCTAATAATTTTACATTCTACTACAGGCCTTTCGTTGCATGTAGGTAAATCTTCCAGTTTCTGAAGAACTTCCGTACCCTCAATCAGCTGTCTACAACAGGAAAATATATATTCACAGTCAGTTAATTACATACTTTTTACAGTCTGATCCCTACCAGAAAGCAGTAGTTTCAACAATTCAGTCACTAGCTTGAGTTCCACAATATTCTACAATTTCCTAATTTGTTAAATATGCATGCTTTAACAAAGGGCTCTGGCAGACATAATTAACCAGTTAATCACATCTTAAGTAATAACTTAGCCACATATTCATGCAATTAATGGTGCGATAAAACGGAACAACCCATAAAGTAATTACACAGAATATGTGTAATAACGTTGTGGCTGGTTCCCATCATACCTTAAATTGAATGTGTGGCCAGTGCCAATCCACCAATCAGAGCTCCCAGGCTTGGAAGCCCACCAGAACCTTGAAGGGCTCCAGTGCGTTCCTGTGGCTGGGAGTGCCAGTCAGCTGATTGGCACTCCCAGCCTCAGGATTGCACTGAAACGGTGGGTTCTGATGCTCTCCTACAGCTGGGAGTGCTGATAAGCTGAAATGATCTTGCATTTCCCTTGCACTAGAAATAGGGTGCGATTGGAATCTGATCCCCCCCCATCCCACAATTGTGCCTCCTGCCATGCACGTATGGCATGGCAGGTGGCACAATTGTTGGAATTGCAGATCTGATCCCATCATACTTTAACTGAATGTCTGTCAGCTGCCAAAAATCTAGACTTTATAGTGCAGGGGTCTGTGTGGTGGAGCAGAAAAAAAAATCAAGGAAAATTATCCAAAGGTCAGGAAATTCCTTTCTGATTCAGAAGATGGTACAGCTATATCACCTGTCGGAATAAGACTATTATTTCAAAACCTTTATTTTTTATATTGGGTTATATAATAACTAAATAGTAGTTTTCCCAGTAAAAATTTCTCTTAAAATAGTTGGTTCATACACTATATGTTTTATAGGATTGTTTTTCCCAATAGATTAGCAGTCTGCTCTGAAAATACCTCACTAATAAACATTTAGGAGACAGAAAAATGGTACAGCTTTATACATCTGCAGCTGTTACAGCATGTAGCTAACACCCCAAGACATTGGGGCTACAAGTGTTCAGAACATCTAAGAAAAATAAATCAAGCAGTAAATTGTTAAAAACAGTCCTTCATTTAATAAAAGCAGTTCACTGAGAAAAAGAGAGACTCTAATTAAAGTCCTTCTGTCAATTAGTCTGTATCACAAACATAATGGAACAAGTCATAGTCTTCTTAATGTTTAAACTGTTTGTTCCTCACCCATGCTGTTGTGAGCATGAGTGTACAGGATTCAGACTGTATTGTGACATGCACTATACACACACCTGAAGCAGAATGGCTAGCAGAACTCTGCACCATACTATGTTTGGCCAAGCTGGCATAGGACCACAAAGTGGAAGGGAACATAGAAGAAGATGGAAGAAGAAAGTAACAGAAGCAAATGGATCAGTGATGTGAAATTCATGTTTAGGATGTCTGTCCTGGATGTCTCTTGCTTTAATGTAAGAATTGGTATTGCTACTTCAAGATGCCATTGCCTAAGCTTTGGAAGGCTGGGGAGCCAGCGTGGGCCAGCCAGTTTACAGCACAGCAATTCCATATAGTGCTGAACTGCCTCTCAGCACGCTGTGGCCTTGCTTTGCTTTGGCAGAGTTCCTAGTAAGCTTTATATAGGCCTGTGTAATAAGAACAGTACTTGAAACTTCCTATTAGGGGTGTGTGAAGCTTCAATCCCTGATTTGATTTGGTGGAGATTCGGCCCAATTTGGTGGCCAAATCTCTGAATCCGAATCAAATCAGAGCACCCTTTAATCTCTCCAAATCGAATTGGAACCCTCCAAATCAAAGATTTGGCGATTTGGACATAGACACAGCTTTGAAATGTTTTTTCTACCTACCTCTAGGTAGCAGGCAGTTCATGAATGCTGCAATGGTGGGGTGCATGGAGCATCCCGCAGAAGCACAGGGGGCTGCCCCAGCGCGCTCAGCAGCTTACCTGGAAGCAGACTAGAAGCACTTCCGCTCTGCTTCCACGCCTGCCAGGGAGCGCACTGGAGAGTCCTCCCACCCCCCTGGCTTGGTGACTGGTGCCTCCTGAGTCTGGGGAGGCACCCGGGGTCCCCCCGTGGCTGATGGCCGAACTGAGGGGACGCAGCCTGTGCACTCCCCAACAGGCTGGGGAGTGGACCGGAAGTACTTCTGGTCCACTTCTGGGCTTGCCGCTGAGCACGTGTCACGTGCCCCCCCCACCGCCCCGTGTTCCTGAGAGACGCTCCATTGCAGCAATCATGAGCCACTCCTTGTACCTCAAGGTGTGTAGAAAAAACATTTAATGCTGTGTCTATGTCCGAATCTCTGATTCACCTAATCAGCATCGAATCTTTAGATTTGAATTGGGCCGAATTGAATCAGGGACAATGATCCGAATCAACGAATCAAATCACTGTCCCCAATTTGGGCTGAATCCAAATTGAATAGGGCCCGCTTTGCACACGCCTACTTCCTATGCTTTTATGGGCAGTTTATGGGTAGGAAAGAACCTCCTATGTAAAATGTAGAAATAAGGTCAAATGCCACATGTATAAAAGTATCCATTAAGATCACATTTTAATTTGCCTTCTGCATTTTGAAACGCTCTGCTACTCCATCACTGTGTGACAACATAAATACCCCTACCCTCATCTTCACCCATCAGCCTTTTTGGTGCCGTGTAAAAGAACTGCATAGATTAAAGCAGCTCTAAACACCCCAGAGTAGAATCCTGTGTCCATTGAAGTCAATAGAACTTGGGCTATTGTCTTCAGTAGGGCCATGATTTGACCGTTGGTTCTCATTAGGGCAGGTGCATGGTGGCAGAGCAGTTAAGACAGTGATTCTCAACCTTGTTAGAATCAAGATACCCCTTGGGAAATACCAGTCAGTGGCAGAAAAGACCACTAAGAATGTTTTAACACTATGAGTTCCTATTTGAAATCTCTGGCTTTACCTTGTGAACCTTGTTGGTGCACCTAACAGTGCTAACATTGCATGGTACCCTTGAAACCATCTCAAGGGATCTTGGAGTGCCCTGGCACCCTGGTGAAGAATCACTGAGTTAAGGCAGCATACACTCTGGAGATGTGAGTTCAAGCCCTGCTCTGGAGTCATGCCAAAAGCTAACCACACTTGTAAATACGTACTGGATCATTTAGGCTGGGGAATCAAAGATGGCTAGACATGACAGTGGCCACAACACTCCCTTGCATGCTGTTGCTTAGGAAACTGATGTGCTTAAATGACCCTAAGCCTTTGGGTCATCACTCTGACCTTCCTTCTGGATAGGGAAGCATCCTATAGTGCTAGTGTTGTGGGGATAGCTTTAAGCTGCCTGGCAAACTCAGGTGTAGGGAAGGCAGGGCTGGAGCCTACTGACTTTGGAGGCACAGCAGGCAGTGCCTTATAGATTAATTTGTTTAGAGGCCTGAGCTTTTGTAAGCTACAGCCTACTTTGATCTTGCAGGCTACTGTATCCAGGTCAGGTGGAAGCAAACTTGGTGATATGTCTATATTGGAATACAACTTAGGTAGAGCGTTTAGTATGCCTCAGCAAAGCTGCACTTTTGTTGTTATAATTTATTCCAACCATTAGAGCAAAACAAGCCATCTGAAAAAAGCAGTCCTGCTAATCTAACCAAGCAGCTATATTAGTCAGACATCGCACTTTCTCACTTGACTGATGTAGATTTTACCTTGAACAGGCATCTGGAACTGTTCAAGATTTCCCAGGAGCCTCTTCTGCTCCTGGAGCAGCCTCAGTACTGAAAAGGCACAAAGGTAACTTAAAGTCATCTTACCCCTCCCCCTGAGCTGATATTTCCTGCTTGCACCTGTTAGTGTGGCAGCACAGAGAAAGCTTTACTCTGAGGTAGTAATATCTTAGATAAGTAGAAGCATTTTTAAATGGTTAGAAATGACACATGAGTACATACATACCCAAAAGCCACATATTTTCTATCCAGGTAGGGAGCTGGCTGTAGTGTGATGTAGAACTGTGATCCATTGCTGTGACGCCCCTTATTGGCCATCCCAAGGACCCCTCTTTTATTGTGAGGGATTGAGAAGTTCTCATCTAGAAACAGTGAACAGTAACACACAATAGAAGTTTTTACTCATTGACATGACTACTCCACCCCCTTTTTCAGCTCTGGATTCTTTTCCCACATTCTGTAATCAAAGGGTGTGGTTGGGATAACAGGAAAAAGAGACAGGAGCTGGATTACAGGGTGGATCCAAGGGGGTACACTGGTGCACTTGAATCCCCCACACCTTTGATTCCTGGTCCACCCAAAGTTTCAAACTAACTGCAGCAGCAACAGCATTTCTATTCAGGCAGCAGTGAGACTCAACTGATTTTATGGCTGATTATAATGTACTTGTTTCTTCTAAACACATATGTTAACAACCCTCCCTTGTTTTAATGATCTTGATAGTCCACTAGCTAGGCTGTCTTTTTTTTTGTGGCAATTCTTCTATCTGTTAGCTGCTCCTGGTAATGTAGCTCCTATTTAACAGTGTTGGAGACTGTTTACAACCCTAGATAACATTAACCCAGGTGTGGAAATAAATGTCAGTGTAGCACTGGATGCACTGCCAAGATGCTCAAGAAGGCTAGACTTTGTTTTATGAATCTGAAAGAGAGATGCGCGTTCAACTCTAATGACTACAGGACTAATGAAACAACATTTTGGAGGTTCTTTTGCCTAGTTTGTTGCATTTCTAATACATAATAGCAAATTAATGCACATTCCAATAAAGCTATATTTGTTTTTGCTTCAATTTTAAATGAAATAATATAGCCATAAGCCCCTAGCAAATTAGTAAAGCATCTTAATTCTTATTATCTGGAGAAATATATTGGATGATGGACCATATCATCAGCACCTTCCTTTTCAAAATCCTAGATTTGCTCATGTTGGGTTAATACTGGATTTATCATAGTTGATACCCATGGTTATGGACAGAAATCAGAATAGAAAGAGAGAGAGCACCCAGAGGTACAGTCTTTTTTCTGCCTCTTGTCATATCACTTGCAATGAGCAGAGAAAACTCAGTGCCACCACTTCACCAGGAACAGATTTCCTTCTTTGCCATACACACATTACACAATTCTAAACTTATTAAAGACCACTCCTGAAAATGTGAAACAAGAACAACTTTGCATGTGAACAGCTTACAGGAACTGGCATGCTTATTTATAAGAGTTCCATTCAGTGCTGTTTGCAGCATACATGCGGCAGAGGGATAAAAAGAGGACAGAGAAGGGAAACTGAAGTCAATGGACTCATGAAATGAACAGGGAGAAGGGAGCAAACAAAATAAGAAGATAGGCAGGAATTACCATAGGACCTTGAAGACCAAGATGAGGAATGCAGAAACTGGTGGAGGAGGTAAGTTGTATAGAAGAGCAGAATGTAGCTGGAACGAGAGGCAGGGCAGATGGTTTTTGTAGTATTTGGCACAGCTCCTTTCTGCTACACTTACATAAAAGACTGTCTTGGAGGAGGGGGGAGCAAGGGGAGTTGCTGAGCAAATAAAGTGATAGAGTTGAGTAAAGAGAGAATGGACTTTTAGTTCAGAAAGCTCGAGTAGTACCTGGACTCCCAGAAGCATCCAGTGATACAAGAAACAGGAAGTGGGTGCAAGGTGCGAGACAAGTTTTGGGAGTGGAAATGAGAATGGAAATGAGAAGTAAAGTTGAGTACAGAGAGGAAAAGTTGAACGTGAACACTGCTGAGCCAACTGAGGAAAGGCAGGCTGGTTAGAAAGAGTCTGGGTGGAGTGCATCAAAGGATGGATGCTGGTGGATGGGAAGAGATGGAAGGGATGGGAAGGGATGGGTGGGCTGGGGATGATGAGGAATGATGAAAGGGAGGTAGTACAGTGGGAGACAGCAAACACAAGTGATGACTAAACTGAAAGGGTCTAAGGTAGTGAGCAGGAGTGGAAATGATGCAGAGCTGCAAGCTGAAACCATATCTAAGCCCCTTCTCTGCTGTTTAGCAGCTGATATGACACACTGTGCAATCAAGAACCCAAGAGGGCTTTCCACAAACTTGAAAATAATGATGGAAATCTGAGGGTTTTAGGTAGTTGATTATTCTCCCAATTTTAGCCATTCTCACTTGGAGGACTCTTATCTCAAAGTAATTAATAAAAATAGCAATTAAATTCTCACTGAAGTAGTTGCTCCTCTGTTGCTGACTTGTGAATGACAAGTTCAGGAGCTTAATTTTAGATTAGATGTCTTTGCAGTATAAAATGGCACTTAAGTCCAAATGGTATTCTGCAATTACCTCAGTACTTTGAACTCATTACAGTGAAATGTAGAAACAACCCATTAATTTTACAGACTACAACAGTAAATGGCTATGTGCCAAATGTGGAGATTCAGAGAACATTCGCATCTGACAGCAGCGTCTGTCACTTCTTCTCAGACAGCAACAATATTTGTCACCTGTCATCTCTGTAAATAGTGTGGTGGAAAGTGCTGGGAAAGCAAAATAATCACCTCCATAAAATTTCATCTCTCAATGAGCACCTTTAAAATGGATTAAAACCAATATTTAATCTTTTCTTTTGAAAGGGGGTTCAGTTCTGACAGTCATCTCTCTAAATAACCAGTGTTTGTGGTGTGTGAAGTATGGTAATAAAACTCCTTACAGGGACACTTTCAAGGTTGATGGAATCCCAAATATGCCTATCTTAAAAGTATGGAGCTTTTCTGACCCTACATCTGTTGTCCCCTCCAACTACAGTTACAAGAGTAATTAAAAAACAGCCAAGCTTCTCTCTTGGGTAGCAGAGCAGCACAAGCTTTGTCAGGAACACAAATGCTGAACTGGGAGTTAGTAAACCTGCCAGTATCAATCTAGACTCTGCTACTGTTTTTTGATGTGGCCATGGGCAGGTCACTTCACTTCTGTCTCATTTTACTCCACCAGGAAGATGGACAGCATACTGCTTACATGTGTACTAATGTATGAGGATACATTCATGTTGGTATGAAGCATTGCACATAATAAAGTGCTATTAAATATTGAGAATGAGATTGTGTATTCATATAATAGCCCTGCACAGAATTCAAGGAGCAGCAGCAGCAGAAGAAATTGTGTCTACGGCTTGCCCCCTTCAATTGTCCACACATGGATATGCTGCTTTTCCTCTTAGCATTGTTTTGGTCGGCAGGAGAGATCAGTTCCCAGGACAGCACTTTGGAGCAGATATACTGAAAGAGTTCACAGTAAAGAGTTGTAGATACACACTTGGGGGGAATTCTAGCATAGTCCATGTAAACAGTGTGCGTGGCTGGAGGAAAGAAATCAGTGAAGATTTTTAGCTCATGTGTATTCATGTTGTCAAAAACCAGCCCAATTACTGGAATACACTTTTAAGTAATGGCGATCATGGGAAAAGTTTATGAAAAATGTTAGAGTTAAAAGTTAGCAGTCTTTAAAATTAACCCGAGTTAAGTTAAAAGTTAAATATCTCCACTTTCAACTAGTTAGAAGGAAAGTTAAAAAGAGAGTAACGAGTTAAAAGTTAAGTTGATTCATGAGAAATGCGTGAAACAGGGTGAATTGCCTCTTAGCATCATTTTTCATTTTCAAATGCAATGAGTGGCTTTCTTTTCCATAAGCTCACAGAAGCACACTAATTTACTCGAAACTCACCCTCCTTTACCTGAGAACAATGTTATACTTGTCATACAGTTTTCAGAATAACAATTTACCAATACCTATGTACTGTTAGATCCTTCTCACCCTCTCCATGTGAAGTACTTTGTAAAAGTCAATGCATCATATAGGTATACCAGAATAACAGAAGAGATATTCATAGCCAGGTGACAAATGAAAGCTGTTTCTACAGATAGCCTCTGTTGTTACATTTTTTATTGCTCAAAAGGTAACAAAATGGTATTAAATACATCTGAATTAGAAATAATGAAAGTGTCTGAAAATCAAAATTAGACTGAAATTGGAAAATCAGTTTAAATGAGAAAAAGACTGTTCAGTTGCATAGCAGAAACTGTTTAAACATGCTTACTGAACTTTAGCAAAAGCTGCATTTCAAAATTTGCAGTTCAAAATCTGACAATTTTCCTCTCCTGTCTTGCAAAACTAAGCCCCCACTACTGAACAATCGCTCTACGTGGGCAGATGAGGGAATGCTTGTGTTATAACGGATGAATAATTTTTTTCATAGTAGGTGACATCTCAGATAAGTTTCTCACAGATGAGAAGTAATACTCAACTTCTTGGGCCCTGAGCTGCTGGTTCTGATTTTCATTAAAATTTAAAAAGTCATCATCTGCTTCACCCTCACTACTTGCTCCCACTCTTACTGGGATCAATGTCTCTGCTTGCTTGTGCTTGTTCCTTCTCCTGCAGCCAACTGGCTGCCCTGTTGACTTCTGCAAATGCACAGAAAATGCCGGCATGAACTAAGGAACTCTGGGACTTGTAGTTCTCAAGAGACCATCTCTCATAGGAAGGCACACTGCTCTCTGTCTCTCAAACAAGAAGTCCTATAGCAGGCTTGTCCAACATGCGGCCCGCCAAGCCATTTTATCTGGCCTGAGGCGCCGCCGCCGCAGAGCACAGAGCTGCGGCAGTGGCGGTGGTGGCAGGGCAGCGGTGAGGCGAGCCGGGCAGGGCCGGCGCGCGGACCCCAGCCAGCAGCGAGGGGAAGGGAGCTGCTTACCCCCGCAGGGCTGGGCTCATGACTGAGCCGGGTACTGCCGCCACTGCCCCAAGGGCTGTGCGGCGCTGGGCTGCTGCAGCCGTGCCTGATTAGACGAGCCGGGGACAGTGCGTGCAGCTTGTTCTCTGGCTCCGCCCCTTGCCCCCGGCGCGTGGGCGGGAGAGCTGCAGCATGGCCCGTGCCCTGCCCGCAC